AACAACTCGACGTGGCTGCTAGTGATTCCTGCTAGTCTTCGAGAAGAGATCTTCCAAGCCTGCCACGACGACCCAACATCTGGTCACCTTGGCTACAGTAGGACTCTTGCACGGATCCGAGAAAAATACTACTGGCCCAAGCTTCCGAAGACTGTCCACCTCTACGTCCGTTCGTGCCACGAATGCCAACGACGTAAGAAACCACCGACGAAGCCGGCAGGTCTCTTGCAACCGATCGCGCCCCCGACTACACCATTCCAGCAGGTTGGAATGGATCTTCTCGGACCTTTCCCACCGTCGGCGCAGGGAAACCGGTGGATAATCGTGGCAACTGATTATCTCACCAGGTACGCCGAGACAAAAGCACTCCCGTCGGGGACCGCCGTGGAAGTAGCCAAATTCTTCGTGGAGTCTATCGTCCTCCGACACGGCGCTCCCCAAGTCCTGATTACGGATCGAGGATCCTCGTTCATGGCGCAACTGACACAAGAGATACTCCGCCTGAGCCACACCGACCACCGCCGGACCACGGCATACCACCCGCAGACCAACGGGTTGACGGAGCGACTAAACAAGACCATCGCCGACATGATTTCTATGTACGTTGACGTGGAACACAAGACGTGGGATGAAGTGCTGCCCTACGTCACGTTTGCGTACAACACGGCGATTCAAGAAACTACCGGCATTACACCCTTTCAGCTGGTGCACGGCAGAAAGGTGACGACGATGCTCGACGCCATGCTGCCCCACGACCCGACGGATGACGGCACTGACGACGCCCAGCTGGTCACCCAACGAGCAGAAGAAGTACGCCAGCTAGCCCGTCTTCGAATAAAGAACCAGCAACGTGTGGACGCTGGCCGGTACAACCTTCGCCGCCGCGACGTGGAGTTCCAGCCCGGAGACAGGGTATGGGTGTGGACACCCATTCGCCGCCGCGGCCTCAGCGAGAAACTGTTAAAACGCTACTTCGGACCCTACAAGGTCATCCGCCGCCTTGGGGACTTGAACTACGAGGTGCTCCCCGACGGAACTCGCCCATCAGGACGCCGCCAGCCACGACCCGAAGTCGTCCACGTTGTTCGACTCAAGCCGTTCTACGCGCGTTAGGATTGTGAAACTGCATGTTTGTTTTGTTTCGCCGTAATTGTTTTAGCCATTTCCGTTTTCCTTTCGTTTTGCATCGGGGCGATGCACTTTTAAAGGGGGGATAATGCCACCCGCAGAGCCGAGAAGGCAACGCTCGGTCACGGTCTTCTAGAAGATTCCCGGTCATTCTCGCAGCAGACGTAACTTTCCTTCTGCTTTGTTATTCTCGAAAGTGCCAGTTTATCCTCGCCCCGAGCGCGCGACGCTCGAACCTTCGTTGCCGAACTTTCGAGATAGTGACGCAGGGAAGATAAGCGGCTCCCGCGACCTTGTCGAGTCAGTCCCAGTCTCGCTAGCGCTCTGTAGTGCCGCCGAACCGCCGCCCGCTTTTCCGCTACCTCAACGCTCCTTCGTTATTTACTTTTGGTTGGCACAAGTTCGCCCATTAAATCTTTATTTTCAGTTCACTGTTTGGCTTTTCGTCACCTTCATTCGTGACAATATGTGCGTTTTAGGGGAGATGGGAGTGTTTGCCAAAAGTCATTTCTTTAGATCTTCGAGGTTGAGAAAAGTTGCCGGCACATGTTCGAAATTACCAAAAAATTCAACATTCCGGCAGCGGCTGTTCTACGCTGTCCACCATTTTGCAAAACAAGCAAGGCATATTTGGTGGGTTTGAGAAGTTTCTCATGCAGGAGAAAGCATGCCCACGGCTCGAAGATGGAAGATACCCAACTGCTTCGCACACGTTGGATTATCTCTCGTTATCATGCTCGCCGAAACGGCGCACAATTTCCGTAGTTGCAACAATGTCTACAGGAGTGTGTGAAAACATGTTGGCAAAGCCACCGACGATAACTTTGATTTGTTCGTGCTTGTTAATGCGGACGTTCCTGTTGTCGCTCCTGCCATGGATGTTGCGATTGTAGACCTTGCATGCGGCCAGGGTAAACATGAAGCGACATGGCAGAGGCAGCTCAGGAAACGCCGACGACTGCGGAGATGCAAAACATCCTGTGGCTGCTTTGAAACAAAGTGGAGTGCAGCGGTGGTGACAGTGTTCCTGCGATGCCTGGAACAGTTTGAGGAGAACTGATGCCCGGTTAAAATTATCGGCAAACTCCTCCTAATTATTTTTTCACTTGGTAAAGCTGCCGCGAGATGTTCATAACCAAGGTTTGTTTGATGAAATATATGGTAGAGTGTTCCGCCGTGTTCCTGTTTACCTTCAAGGCTGCTGGCACTGTTTTTTTGGCTGTATCGCTTTTATCGAATTACCTCCTGTATTGAATTCATTTTCCGTCCTGTTGACTTCGTTATAACGAGAGATTACTGTAAATTGTTTGTACTCAAACTCGCCCAGCTTTCATTGCCTCATGGAAATCTCAACTGTCGTCAGTTTGGTCAAAATTGCGGGCCCACCAATGTCTGCAACAAAGGAACTTATGCTTTAGTGAAGCTTGCAAGATGGGAAGTTGTATTTTGAACGTGTATGCTTCTAGTGCATTTTATGCCCCAGAACTAGGATTGCATGTTTTGGTGGTGTTTTTTTTTTCTCATAGATTTAGTGTTTTCTGGTGTCGCGACAAAAAATATCCATTTATTGGGGCTGACGTAGAAGAAAATAGGACATGGACATTGGATTTCCCAACCTCTAAGTAACATGCCCGTGGCCCCAATTCCTGGAAAATGTTCCGGTACTGATAAGAGAGGGCAAGTTCAAGTGTATGTGTGCACCTACAATGTGCTGCCGATTAAGACAATGAGTAGTCATGTGCATCTGACTGAGCCGACTGTATATGATGCACTGTCCCAATCATCCTTACCTGTAATTAGGTGTAGATAACAGAAACAAGATAAGTTGTGTGGTTCTTGAAGGGAGAAGCCCATTATGGACAGTTCGGTACCACTGTGTTCACGGTTAAAGGTTTCTTCCCGCCAAGAATAGGCTTTCTTTTTTTTTTTGTTTATTCTAGGGCGGCTGCAATTTGGGGCTTTTCAGTTTTCCCTCTATTTCGCTAAAACCCATTCGGGTATCATTTTCGGGGTTTATCGGTATATACCGATAATGCAGAATTGTACCCGTAACGTACGTAGCAATGCTAAGGAAGTAAAACTCAAGATGTATGTTCCGTCACATGCTGAGAACATATATATGTTAGCATAAATTCCCAAGTTCTGACTTTTGAAACTCTGAAACATAGCTTCCTTCCTTGCCGTGATCCATGGCAGACGATGATACAGACGACTGAGCTAGCAAGGGACGTCCACGGGGTGCCATCTTCCAATAGGCGTAGTGAGCAGACGACCAAGTCGTCTGCTTTTGGCTTAGTGCACTGGTAGAAAATGTTCCCACCCCGTGAGGACAATTTTGAACACACAGGCGGTTATTGTAAAGAAAAAAAACCTAATTGTATAGAAAAGTTGTATGTATTCCGTGCCATAAAAAACGTGTCACATTTATTTGCCTAAGAATTCTTCTTTCAGCAGTGGGCAGACCAACTGTAATAAAATGCAGTCAACAGGATAAAGTAGTGCTTGTTTGCAGAAGTGAAAAGCTTAGAAAACAAATACTACACTACCCTTGCGTAAGGCAAGTCAACAGCGTTGGTTACAGCCTTGGCTTGTTTACAGAAGCATGTGCTAAATAGCGTCCCATTTCGATGGACATCAAAAATTGTGTTTTAAGCTCACAAATATCTTCTTTGTGGTTCATGAGTGCTTACAAGGCAACTCCACTCTTAGTCTCAACCAAAACAAATTTTGCTACTGCTTTAGCGAAACATACCATAAAATACGGGGAGAGCACCCACCCCACTTTCACTTAAAATTGGTTAGTCTAGACATGGGCGCTTGTCTGGTTGATGCAGGAAAAGCCAAGATGATGGCAGCTTGCACGAAAGGTGAGGGAACCGCGGCAGCGTGCACACTTTATCAAGGAATGTCTCACAAAAGCACTGGGACCCCTAGTTCTGTTTTCAAGATCTGTTCATTGTCACACTATATTATCTTCACCCCCATTGGTCCTGACGTGGCTACAACTGGGCTGCTGACCTCCAGCATTGTAGGGACCTTTCACTGCACCCAATGACCTGATAATACAGTTAATGGTTTCCCTTGCCCTCGAAGTTTTTCCCTTTCCATCGCAAGGAAGTGGATATCCCTGTCATCCCCGGTGGTGTTCTCGTAGGTGCCACAGTGTGGCGAATATTTGAGGCACTTTGGGGGGGGGGGGGGGGGGGGGGGGTGTATAACATGTGATCAGAATTCCAAAGTTTTGGAAATGTTAATAGTGGGGCGCTTCCCCGGTATATCGCAGTAGGACATCACCGAATGATGGTTCTGGGGTACATACTGAAACCAACATTGAAAGTGCTGCTATCACATTCTTAGTAGGTGACCAGCTCTTTGGTTACTGCTGAGCCTACATTCGGAAACATTACCTCATTCTTACGCTGCTCATGTGTTTCCAGCATTGTCTCAGCAGATGTATGGGGCTGTGTCTTGGGTGTGCATGTGCACAGCCACACTACTTTGCCTTCAGGCTCTAGCTTCTTCACTCTCTGCGATGAATCTCCTCAAGCAGCAAAGATGGGCTTCTTTCTGCAACCCGCCCTCGGGCATTCTCACAGTTACGGTACAGCGGTTGCTTTTTTGGAAGCTGGATAATTACATCTGTCTCTTGTTCTAATCTTACTGGTTTCCAATGGTACCTATGCATCCAAAAGGTGTTCTATGGTCTAGAGAGGCTTTACCCCACTTTAAGCCTTCAAAGGTGGTGGTTTAGTTACCTACCACGTAAAAACAACAAGGCACGTCCCCAAAGAGCCTCGTTGGATACCTTGAACCTTTGTGCGTCTAAAATGGGATCGCCAATTAATCGTTCAATAAACATCTTCCCACTGCAGGCAGTGTGCTGCCGCGAGATCGGGTGCCAAAAGGCCTGTTCAAAGGTCTCAACTTCCCATTCCCGGTGCGCAAGGAGGTGGTGCGCATTGTGAATAACCGGCGCCGCAGCACAGAAGAGGACAGCCGCAGTGCACAGCGGCGGCTGGCGAGGCTGCAGCGTAGCAATGCCCGGCTCAGCAAGATGGGACTGAAGTACCAATTCCAGCCAGAGGTGGGCACCCTCCTTCACACTCCTTACCTTCAATACCGTTTGCTTTCCTTAGGCTCGCTTTCTTTTTGTACCACAATGGCTGTGCAGCTTTGTGGAAACCTTGAGTGCTAAGTTTGGGCGGTTGCCTTGGGTTTGGTTGTGTCTTTGTAGATCCCAAGCATCATTGTATTGGGTGCATGTTTTAGACCTTGGATACCCATGCTCTGGTGGGTCACTTGTCCAAGTTAAGTTGTTGTTTACTTTTTCTTTAACTTCATGTAGCTTGACATGAAGGTGTGTCTTCATCTAACTTGACATGAAGGCTCAACAGAGAACTGGTTAAAGGTGCCCTGCAATCATATTTAAGCATCTACCTTTTTTGCGGTTTCCACGTATCTTGGGATTCGGGCAAGCCAGTGGGCATGGAGAAAGTAACTAAATATCAGTGTGTCATATTTTGACCGGACGACGTGGAAACCTCCTCTATCGACGAAGGCGACCCACGGTATCGAAAGCGCGCAAAATGTCAGCCACTAAAAGTTTCTTTTTGGTCAAAATACAAAATATAAGTGGCGCAAACCGTTTCAATTATTTATAAAACTAGTTTTTGTTCAGTATTTAAATGAGAAAAGAAACAAATGCAGTTTATAAAGTATGGAAACAAGAAATGTCCCGTCAACATCCCCACCACCAAGCGGTGGGAAAGGCGGCACATACTAGAAAGGAGTAGTGGGATCAGGCGCCGGCCCGGAAAGGTCCCAGATGTACGCGGCGGCGCTGCGGTCGTATGGACAGGAGGATCCGTCCTGCTCCGAGCCCTCCGAAGGCCTTCGGCGAGAAGCTTTGTCTTGTGGTTTGGCCGTTTCGTGGTATGGCAGCGCGAAGTGGCTCCCATTCTGAACTGATCTTTACCCCGTGTTTGCTGTCGTTTGGGGCCAATGAAGTGTCATGCCGAATTAGTGTTTAATCGCGCAGCAAATGCAGTGAGAGCTGCTCTGGCTGCCCGCTGCATACTGCCTATCCAGAACATGCTTTAGTGGCGTCCTCTCGCGCCGTCGACACGGAGTGCAGCAGCTGTGAGCGCTTGATGAGCTCATTAGCCCTCCTCTAGTTCACGGCCACTCAAGCAACCAAGGACGTCATGAGGGACGTTATTTTTTGCTTATTTTTGTAATTCTAATTTGCCTATAACTTTTAAAATAAAATGAATTTTGAGAAAAGAAAAGTTTCACTATGTGACTACGTTCAGTGCGCTCAGGTTCGGTGCAGATTAAAAACCAGTAAAAAAGTCCTTGCAGGGCCCCTTTAACTACCGACGCCTTTTTCCAGGCCTTGAGCTCGGGTGTGCAACTTTTACGGTACGCTGGCCCGAGTCTATTATTGTAGTGCGTGCTAGCTACGGCATAATCCCAAGAAATGCCTGATTTGTCTATTGTGATAAAGCGGGACTGTAGAGGATGTTTGGGAACGCTGCGGCCAGAAGAAGAACGTTGTGATAGGAAATTGTGGTGATCACTATTGTTCACTTGCAGATTAATGAAGCAAATAAGAGCCCACAGTCCACTCTCATTGTGGCAAAGATGATTTGTAAGATCTCTCTCAAAACGTGTCTCGAGGTTCAAGCGACTCCTCACATTTTTTCTTTTTGTTTTTTAAGGGGTATATTACCTAGAAAAAGCAATTTCTGCAAAAAAATGTTGATTTTGAAAACATGCCAGATTTAAATCCACCACCATATAGAGAGTATTCCCAGAAAGTTTCATTAGTTTACACTGCATAGTTAATCTTATATAAATAATTTTTGGTCCACCAATGCTAAAGAAAAGGTAGGGGTTGTGGCACTTTGAATGCATTTTTCTCTGTTTCTCTTTGCGTCGAAAATTTCACTTGGCGACCAATATGTCGTTCCTGGGCCCAGAAATTGAGTCTTTTCTTCGAGATCCATTAACACCCAGCAAACTAGCACACTCAACGAGAGTGTGCTGGTCACGAGTGGAATGCGCATGCAATCCATTCGGATGTACATTCCAATTTAGAGTTGGTCGAGCAAACGCACGGCTTGCTGCATCATTGTTAAGGGGGGACACTACCCAAATTGTGCAATAGGAAAACTATCGTTTTCCTATTGCACAATGGAGAATTATTCTTAGGTGGTTTTCTGGTACAGAATTTTGTGAGGAACATGCCTGGATGGTTAGTTTTTCTACTTAACATTCTTTCAAGCTAAAAAAAACAGACTAAAAAAGTGCAGACATGGAAAAAAAAAGAGAAGAATCTTCTTATGGAGTTATATTTATGAAAAACAATGCAATATAGCAAAATAACTAGCTGGGTGTGCTTGGGTATTCCTATGACTATAGTACATATAAAAATTACATATTTTTATTTTATTTTAAAACAATAGTTTTCATAAGCGAACACACTGATCTCCATATTGTAACATTCGGAACAAGTTTCAGAAGTGACATAGGACAATGAAATTTGGCAGGGATGGTCTTGCCACTCATATAAATTTCCACTGCAAATTTGATTGAAATAAAGCAAGCACTACAGAAGTTGACTTTTCTGGGTAGCGTCTCCCCTTAACAATGATGCCGCGAGCCTTGCGTTTGCTCGACCAACTCCAAATTGGAATGTACATCTGAATGGATTGCATGTGCATTCCACTCGTGATCAGTACACACTCGTTGAGTGTGCTAGTTCGCTGGTGGTTAATGCATCTCGAAGAAGAGACTCAACTTCTGGGCCCAGGAACGACATATTGGTCGCCAAACGGCCACGCCAGGCAAGAATTCATAATTGCTGATTGCAACACTTCACTCTGAAGAACGGTACCAGACCCCAGTTCGATGTGACATTATATGTTGGAAACCTACTCTAAAACTTTGCTCATTTCTAGAATGCCTTTAAAAAAACAATTGTTCATTATGACGAAGGAACTTCATTCTAATATGGATAGTCGAACCGAGGTACTTCATCCGCCCAACGCGGGATGGGCGTTCTCATGCCCGTTCTGCGACCCCTGCAAGAACCTCACCTTTACGACATTCCCTCCCCCCCCCCCCCCCCCCTCCCAGCCAACTGCAACTAGAGCATTAGGGTCCATCTTGAGCACGAAATGGCCACCGAAAAGAAAAACATGCTATTTTTCACAAACACAGAGGCACAGCAACGCCTCCTTCTCTTCTGCAGAGTAGTTACGCTCAGTGCTGGAAAGTATCCGCGATGCGAAAGAGACGGCGCGTATCCCTTCTGGACGTACCTGTTGTAGAACTGCACCTAATCCTTAACTCAATGCGTCAGTTGTGACAATTGTGGGCAGTGTCAATTCGAAAACTGTGAGGGGGACACGGTTCTGAATCAGATCTTTGACAAAAGTGAATGCCTCCTCTTGCGCCTTGGGCCACTAGAAGGGGAAATCCCTCCGTAGGAGCGCATGAAGAGGCTCTGCGATGGTTGCAAAGTTTGGTGTGAACTTCAGTAAGCGGGCCAAGCAATGACTGCAATGACGTTTCATCAGTGAGCATAGACGCCTGCACGATAGCTTCAACATTATCTCGGCAAGGTTTTATTCCCTCGGATGTCAGTACATGTCCAACGAATTGCAACTGTCTCACTGAGACGATGCATTTGCCTCGGTTTAATTTCAAACTTGCATCTTGTAGGCACGTAAAAACTTTCCACAGGCGGGTGTCATGCTCTTTACTTGTCTGTCTGATGATAAGCACATCATCCAGGTAAAACGACGGTTCCTTGAGTGCCTCGAAAGATGCAGTCCATCATTGTTTCAAAAGCAGGGGTGGTGGAAGCCAGCCCGAAGCATGCTCGGGTGAATCTGAGGAGACCTTTGTGAGTTGCGAAGGCAATAAGGTCCCCACTTTTTAAGGCAATGTCCAGCCAGTGGTATGCTAATGAGAGGTCAGGCTTGCTGAAGACGTGGGCACCGGAAAGCTGATGAAACATCTAGACAGTGAAGAGGATGAGAATTAAGAACAAGTGAAGTGTTTGGCTTCCGTAAGTCTATACAGAGCCAAATGTCTCGCTGTCTTTTCCCTAGCTGCCACGATGGGGATATACCCACTCTGACAAGTCAATGTTCTTGATCGCACCAGAGCGTTCTAGCTTTGCTAGCTCTTCAAAAACCTCCTTACGCACTGCCAAAGGTAGCGTCCGCAACTTTTGTTTCTCTGGACTGACGGAAGCTTTAGTCTTCACCTTGTAGTAGAGCCATAGGCCACAACCACACGTGTCGTAGAAAACACCAGACTCGCTGTGTTTCTAAATGAAAACAACCGAAGTTCAACTGCATCGAGCCCATTGAGCACGCAGGCTGGCTCTAGCGCGTGACCTCGTAAGCTGCGAGAATAAAAGTATGAGGTGCCTTTTCTCTAAGCTCCGAGCCGAACGTCTATAGTTCTTCTCCGGGGCTTTCGAACACAGTGCCAACAAATTGGTGACCCGGACGTCCGACTATCATATAACGGAGTGCAAGCAACTCCACCGACGACAGAGCCTTGACCACAACTGTTCAGCTCTGCCTTCCAGACTTCTGGGCAAAAAACCCACGGGCCTGGTTTTCCCGAGTGAAAGCACACTTCTACTTGTGGCACATTACCACCCACACATCACGCTACTATTATGTCATGTTTGCCCTCCCCCTGAAGAACTGGCCGATGAACTGAATGACATACTGGCGTCGCCCCCTCCTAAAGACGCCTACGACCACCTCAAGGGCACAAACCTCGCCAGGAAGACAGAGTCGGAAACATCGTGGCTACGTCAGCTCTTGAACTCCGAAGGTAGCTGCTGGAGGAACAGGCTTCTGATGCAAACAATCCCCTTCTACGGGAATTGTGCCTCCATCGCTTGCCCCAAGGGTTGTGTATGGCCCTCGCTCCAGCTGCAGACACATCTCTTGACCGCCTCGCGGAGAAGGCCGACCGCGTCGCCAAATACACTGCATTTAGCCTGTTGAGCGTCACAAACACTTCCCACCAGTGCTCCTCCACAAGAACCCTCGA